ATGACGGTCGCTGCTTTCAGGAACTATTGGAATTTTTAAGGTTGCACGAACCGTTGAATAGTTACGGTAACCGCAAGGGTGTATGCTTGGTGGAAAACTCCATATCCCACAATTCATAGCACGCCTCTACCGAGTGAAACAATGGCGGCTGCCACCTCGTTTTTATATTCCTCTTATTCGTGTTTCTAGGTCACAAAATAAACTTTTAAGATATTTTCAGGCGAGAATGTAGTTGTGTAAACTTCAAATATCTGCTCGTTTTATCAAGAAGTCCCATATTAGCAACAGTTCTCTCATGATGTTACTGCTAGCGCCGCATGGCAGCTAGCCGGCTAGCTGGCTACCGCGGCTTGGCTGACACCCAGGCCGGGCTGACACCCAGGCCGGCTCACGCTCTCGTTTCACCCCCTAGTCTTTCGTGATTACTCTTGGTTGGCTGCTGGACTTATTTTTCATTTATATGGGCTGGTGATTCATTTATTCATTTTAGTAATGGTAAAAACAGTGAAAGGTGGTTGTCCAGATGCTGGTCGATGTGGAAAAAATAACTCAGTTGTTTGGTGGTGGCTAACGCGGAGCTACAACAGAGGGCAGCTAGCCACCGGTGTATGACAGAAAGGAGATGGGGAAAAAGAGAGATGCGAGGCGGCCGCTGAGCGACTGGGCCTGGCTTACACCGAGAGCGGTTCTCTGTCTCGTTTCACCCCCCTCTCTCTCTCTCTCACGCCGCCGGTACGAGTGTCCTGTGAACTGAATGTCAGGTAAGACGTTATGTATATTTTCGTTGTGCTGACTTTTTACAGTCAGTTACAATAAGTCGTACTGCGCGCTAGCTAGCATGACAGACTTTCTATAAAGCTGTGTGGGTGCTCTGTTACTGATGGTGAACTTTATTGTATTCATAAGGTTAGGTTGTAGAGTTGCCAACAGTCCTGTGCAAACGGAATCGTCCCGCATACAGAGAAAATATTACGCATTTCGTATTGAGCTGAAAAGGAACACAGTTTGTCCCGTACTTGAGGTAGAACAGAAGAAGACACAAAGCTGGATTTATTCTGTCATTACGCAG